TGGGACCAGCCTGGCCAACATGGTGAAACCTGATGTCTACTAAAAGTACAAAAATTAGCTGGGCATCATGGCATGCGCATGTGATCCCAGCTACTCAGGAGGCTGAAGCAGGAGAATTGCTTGAACCTGGGAGGCAGAGGTTGCAGTGAGCTGAGATGCCACCACTGCACTCCAGCTTAGGTGACAGAGAGAGACTCTGTCTCAAAAAAAAAAAAAACAAACACAAAATTAAAAAATAAAGAGATTTACCAAAATGTAAACAATGCAACGCAATTCTTCTTTGTTTTATTTTGAACAACATAGTTATTTTTCATAAACTACGTTATTTGTGTTAATGTGAAATTTATTAATTTAAAATGCATTAGTAATTTATATTTAGCAGTTTCTTAGTTTTGATTTCTACATGGTAAATATCAGCAGATGTAACCTATATAAACAAAAGCTTTCTGCGGTCCTCAGTAATTCTTAAGAGATCCTGTGGGGAAAAACATGAATTACTATTCTGGGATCACACTCTATAGCAGAAATAAAGACCATATGTGGAAAGGCTGACCATAATGTTTGGCCTGAATAGTCTATATCATCTATCTTTCTGTCTTTCTCTCTGTGTAATATTCCTTTAATGTATACATATGTATCTATGTATATATAAATGTCTACATACAGCCATGTGCTGCTTAATGACAGGGATCCATTCTGAGATGTAAGTTATTAGGCAATGTTATAATCATCCATTGAGAGCATTTACATAAACCTAGATGGTACAGTCTACTACATACCTAGGCTATATAGTATAACCTATTGCTTGTAGGCTATAACCCTGTACACAGTGTTACTATACTGAATACCATAGGCAATTATAACACAGTGATACCTATTTGTATATCTAAACATAGAAAGGATATTTATAGTAAAAATAAACTATAAATGATAAAAGAAAATAGTATTGGCAGTCACTCTGGATGAGTCAGTGAGTGGCAAGTGAATGGGAAGGCCTAGGACATGATTGTACACTACTGTAGACTTTGTAAACAGTACTCTTAGGTAACCCTACATTTATTTACAACTTTTTTCTTCAGTAATAAATTCATCATAGCTTACTACTACTTTTGTTTTCAATTTAAAAATTTAAAAAACGTTTTAACTCTTTTATGATAACACTTAGCTCAAAACACAAACACATTGTACAGCTGTAAAAATATTTCTTTATATTCTTATTCAACAAGCTCTTTTTATATTTTAAAAATTTTTAATTTATTTTTGTTTTTAAACTTTTTTGTTAAAAACTAAGACACCGACACACACATTAGCCTAGGCTTACATAGGGTCAGGATCAATAAGATGTCACTAGATGCAAGGAATATTTCAGCTCCATTATTACCATAAGGGCCCAGTGTAGTATATCCCCAATCAGTCATTGACTGAAGCATAGTTATGTGGCCCATGAGTATTTATGTGCATGCAAGTGCGCACGCACACACACACATACACACACACAGAGTATATGTATAGTTAATGAGACTGAATGTATTTTACATGGGCATAAACTCTTCAGGTGCCAAGTTTCCATCACTTCCTCCTTTCTTTCAATTGGAGTTATTATATATTTATTTCTAATTCTAGCCCCATACATGTATGAATTGGTGAAGTCTTTTAGAAAGGCCCACCTGCTGTGGTTTCCTATGTGAACTGGGGATAATGAGGTATTTTGGAAATATTTCTTACCTCCATTTTTTGACGGATGAATGCATGAAGGAAACACAATGTCGCAGTGTCAGTAGAAAGAAATAGTAATAACCATTACTATTATTACTGGTATGATTAGCTCATTTCTTCCAGTGAAATTCAGACATGCAATTTAGGAGGACAGAGCTAAAAGAGAAGCTCTTTCAGAGTAGGTATTTTCTCACAGTAGATTTTTTCCTCCGTCAATAGAGAGAAGTAGAATCTTGTGAACTAAAAGAACAGCTGTATATAAACTAAAATAAGGACTTTTAATTGGGAAAAACATAAGATTGGGAGTCATAAGATAGTGCTATGGCCTTCTCTTTACTAACAAGCCATAAAAACAGATTAATTAATCAACTTGCTCTGTCTAGTTTTTTACCTGTAAAATAAGGTTACTGGACTAGGATGATTTCCAAAGTTTCTTCCAGCTTTATGATTTTACAAGTCTGCAAGAATACCTTGCTTTCTCAATAGAAACCTTTGTTCATGCTTTTCATAATTGGTTCACATTGGAAATTTTGGCTATGTCTGAAAATCGTTAGACAAGTAGCAGGTTGTTATTTCAGATGTGCAAATCTATTAAGAGAGCATCATTGTATGATGGATGTCTTCAATAAACCAACCAGTGAGTACAGCAGCACTTCATTTATCCCATATTGGTAGGGAATGAAGTGTTTCATATGAATGCATTTTCCAAATGATTGACATGTATTCCTTTAAGAACCAAAAATCTGTTTTCATCACTTTTTTTTAGAATTACTTCTGAGAAACATATTTTATATTCCTGTCTTCTTTAAAGAAAACGTTATAAGGAAATGTAAACTCCACTTCATGATTTAGGTCTCATAAGGGCTTTTTATTGCTAAAGGCTTTTTGTGCATTTTAGGGACCTTTCTTAAACACTTTGTATCTTGATTTATGGTTAATCAATTTGACTTGTAGGGTCAGTAAACAATACTTTAATTACTGAAATACATTAAGTATGTAGCAAATCAATCAGTTTTTCTTAAATTTTAAGCTCTAGTTATTAACTAATAAAATTCTGCTAAATTAAATCACAAGTCTGTAAGATTCTGTTAAACTCTTAAAATCCTTAAAAATCAACTGACAAAAAACTATCAGTTAAAATTAACTGTGACTACTTAAATATATTTCATAAGGTAAATACATTAGTCTTATAAAACTAATAGAATATATTTTAAGTATTTCAACGCCCGAAAACATTTAAATCTGATATTTTCCAAAGCACTGGCAAAAATATAGAACAAAAATATTATTGCCATCAGACTGATTGTGTGTGTGTGTGTGTGTGTGTGTGTGAGAGAGAGAGAGAGAGAGAGTGTGTGTGTGTAGGCTTAGTGTTACAATAATTTTATTGGTTCCCAAATAGAGAGACTTCTCATCTCAGATTGGCTCATGTTAGATCAATCAAGATGATCCATTGTATATCTGACCTCCCTACTTACTGCAAAATAATTTAAAGTGTACGTTTTGAGTTGATGATCTTATGTTGGCCTAGTCTTAGCCATTCATATAAGTTTCTCTTTCTTGAAATAATGTATTTTTAGATTTTACCTCAGCAGGGTTACATGACTCAGGTTCCTAACATGTGTATATAACTCTGACGTAATATTTAAGGTTATTTTAAGGTTTTAGGTTGAATTCTGTGATTTATAGGCCTAGGTATTAACCAAAAAGTCAACAGGATATGCTGATAATTTTAACTGCATGTCATCCAGCTTTTCCTGTAAAATATATTTTGGGAAGTTTTACCTGCCCTTCCTTCATTTGCCACTTTGATAGCTTTTGTCCAGATAACTACTCTAACTAAGTGTATGTACAAACAGTCAGATTGGCCAGTGGGTGTTCATATACTTGAGTTCACTTTTCACTTTGGCAATTTTCCAAACATGTATCAGATTATGCTTTCTTTGCTTTATGACAATAGTAAAATACTCCAGGATCATCTTGAATTTTCTTCTTAGCAGGACATTGAAACAACTAGTCTCCAAGGATCACTGATTTCTTTTGATAGAAAATAGAATTAAAGACAAAAACTGTGTGGGAGTGCATTTATGAATATTGGTAGTAGAAAACAATACCATGCTGCTGAGCACATTTAATAACAGAATTAGAAAAGTTATTTCTCTTTGGGTTCTAATTTTATATTAATATTGACAATTTATTATAAATATTTTAATTTCCTGATATGCAGTGTACACCAAGATCATGTTTATTTTATAAAAATTTAAAACTTTAATTTTCTAGAATATAAGTTGATTTGGAGCCTACATTTGAGCTGCAATACACCTCTCTAATTTTGTAATTTGTATTTCTTGTCACCTTAATTGGAGTCATATTTTTGTTAAAGTTGTTTTGTTGTTCTGTGATGCTATAATACCCTCTTGTTCTTTTGGCATAAGAGCTCTTTTTGTTCTGAAATGAAGTTGTTCAAGGCAGCTTTGCCTTTTGGGTTGATGTGTCTCTCTTTTGTTACTGTTTCTGTGCTCACCTCTCTACAGGTTCAATCTCACTTCTTTTCTGAGTCAATTTTGACCAGGCAGCCTCTAGGGAGTGTCTGCCATGCATCAAGCAGCCATGGACCTGGGTACAATGAGTTCATGGTAAACTGTGGGAATCTGACTTGTTCTCTGCTAGTGGATGAAGCTACGTCATTCAACTTGTTGCTGAGTTCCATCACTGTGAATTTCAGTTCTTCACTGAGACTAAAAGGCTCATTTGACCATCTATACTGTAGAATGCATGTTCAATGGATTTTGTCATATGTAAGAGAATGTGTGCCTCTTAAATAGCAGAAAACAGAACAGACAAGGTTGGGCACAGGATTAAAAATCTACTAAATTTGGGTCATTCACTTTGCGACACCTGCCTTCTTGAATTTTGACTTTGTCTTAAGGTTTTGTGACACTCTTTTCCTCCATGCTGCCATCCTGGCCTGAGGTGGTGAGGCTCTTTATTACATTCTGGACCTTAAGTTCACTTTGGCCTGTTGAAGACAGGCTGAAACTTTCAAAATAATATTTCAAATGCTAAAAGATCCTTAATTGGAGGTAAATACAGAATTTACAAAGACTGTAACCTTGTAGTTTGCAAATTAGAGAGAATTGATTTCCCCTAATTAGTTTTGCCCCCAGGGCCACAGACTTCGTGGCTTCTTAAGAAATGGGTCCTTTGCTTCCCACCGCCTAGAGCTCTTTTCCATATATCCAGGCCCTTCTGAAATTTGTCATCCATATATCATTCTGAGAAAGATGGCCAGGCAGTTCTACGAAGCCCCTGTTTCTCGTCCATTTGGTGAGTGTCCAGTAAAGTTGGCATAAGGGGACATTGGCTTCAGATTAGGGGTTAACACATCATGGATTATTATGCAGAGAGTACCCCAAATCAGCCAATAATTCCTGAGGTCAGGCAGTTTCCTAATCTGCACTTCTGATCCTGATAAAGTTTCATAATACCAATCAGTGGTTCCCAAACTTGAATGTTCCTCATTCATCTAGAGGGCATATTTCACCTCCTGAGGCCTGCAATCAGTAGGTCTCAGATGGGGCCTGAGAATTTCTATGAAATTGTCAGGTAATGATGCTGCTTCTGGTTAAGAAGCACACAGTGAACTAGGAAGGACAATTTATATGTATGCTGAGCTCACGGTGGAGCTGTTATTGGGAGTTTCCAGCTATCTTGCATATTTTGATTGAAAAAATAGATGTAACCAGTATATCTAAACAGAATAAGTAAAAAGGGAAAATCAATATCAGGCTATTTGGAAATATTTGAACCCCAGTTTACAATGTGGGGATAATTCAGATTCTGCTCCAATAGTCACCAGTTTTGTGTTTGTTCAAGGCAAACTGAACTCATAGACAATTGAAGTTTTCTCATTCCTCTTACCTATTATTCACAGGGCTGCTGCCAGAGAATATAAATATCAACTCTAATGGTCCACATTATAGTGACTCACATTTAATCAATTTTATTTGGATACTAGCAATTGCTTTTGAAACTTCAAGGAAAGGACGTCCTAGAAAATTAAGATCTGTATTGTCTTTGTAACTAAGTTGCTACATCAAAATAAGCCATGCTACATTTGAAAAAGTCAGTAAATAGGATTATTTGAGAATCTTAAAAATCACTGGAAGGTGGTTTTGATGGGAATGTTGAATCTTACTCAATTTTGTTAAATTTGCAGGCATTTTCAAGACTGTATCTTCCAGGTGAGATTTCACAGCATTGTAATCCTAGGTCTGGAGGACTGCATTCTTGCTTTTCTGATGTCTGAGAGAGAGTGAGCTTAAAGATCTCTTCTATTTCTTTTGGCATGAAGGATGTGATGCCCACTTAGCAATCCCTATCCTCCCTTGACATTCCACAGCTCCTTTTTATTCACAGAGTGATGCCAATGTCATTACTTCTCAGTTTCTGTCTTTTGTGAATACTGGAGATCCTCCTGAGGCATGCCATCTTATCACCGCAAGTCGATATTCATTTGCTTTCTTCAAGGTCCATAGCGCCAGCCTACAATGCTCATCAGAGACAGTCTCATTGTTAAAGTGGTTAAGTAAGAAGTATAATTCCTGGCCTAAAAATCATTTGGCCTCCAGTCCCTGTGTGTCTACATCCCAAAGAAAATAAATAGCAATTTTCCAAATGACTATTTGCCACTTAAAAAAAAATATCAGCTCTTGACAATAAACCAATTTGACACAGGTCATATGAAATGAGATACTGCGAGTTTAATATTAAGAATGTGGTTAATATTTATCTGAACATGAAAATAGTATTTTTGGTGGCTTGACAAATAATTATAAAGGATTTGGCATACAGGATAACATATCTGTGGATTAAAGTATATTTTATAATATAACTCTTAAAAAAATCTAACATGGATTACATAGTGTAGTAAATAGTTTTTTTCTGAACACTGTCCTTTTTTAAAATACTTTTACTAGAAAAACGAAGATCCCAAGAGTTTTAAATCATATGTAACATAGATCCAGAATCCCTATGTGAAACTGTTGGGGCTAAATGTGTCTGAAAAGCAGAATTTTTAGATTTTAGAAAACTATTATGGACACAAACCTCATATTACGTAACAGCTCCTGTGGGGTGGGGAGCAGCTTCCCGCAATCTAATTTTAACATGCGTATGATGAGATGAATGAATAGTTACATGAAGCAGAATTTTTAGAAAGGGCTATAAATAACAGTTCAGGTTAGTTTTTGTTGCCAAAAAAAGTTAAAAAGCACTTTTGTTTTTAGAGCTTTTTGGATTTCACAAGTGCAGATAAGGAATTGTGAATTTGTACTACTCATAAAGTGTTATAATCAATTCACTGATGTTCAGTATGTTCTTGGTAGATATTTGGCAAATTGGGAGAGTCATTTCCTAATTGGTATAAAAGTGAAAATGAATATTTTTCTCAGGGGAGAAACATGGCTTTCTGTGTCACCTCATTAAAGTATCACCTCTTTCCCCTTTTTTTATGAGACAGAGTCTTACTCTGTCGCATAGGCTGGAGTGCAGTGACATGATCTCGGCTTACTGTAATCTACTTCTCTTGGGTTCAAGAGATTCTCGTGCCTCAGCCTGCCTAGTAGCTGGGATTATAGGCACCCACCACCATATCCGACTAATTTTTGTATTTTCAGTAGAGACAGGGTTTCATGATGTTGGCCAGGCTGGTCACATTCTCTTGACCTCAGGTGATCCACCCACCTTGGCCTCCCAAAGTGCTGTGCTTACAGGTGTGAGCCACCATGCCCAATTGCATTCCCCTTTCTGTGTCATCCCTGAAGTGAATGAATTAGATGTATTTTCTGTTTATTTAATGTTGAAAAATGTGTGAGGATAATGAAAGGATGTAACATGGTACCCTGCAAACCAGAGATATTCAGTAAGGAACCATTTTATTTCAGCTTCTTACTAGCAATTTTATTACCTTTTCAACCTTTATTTTAGGTTCAGTAGGTACATGTGCAGGTTTGCTATGTGGGTAAATTGCATGTCACTGGGATTTGGTGTATAAATGAGTTTATTAGCCAGAAAGTGAGCATAGTACCCAATAAGTAGTTTTTAAACTCTCATCCTCCTCTTACCCACCACCCCCGAGGAAGCCCTAGTGTCTTTTCACATGTTTGTGTCCATGTGTACTCAATGTTTAGCTCCCTTTTATAAGTTACAAAACATGTAGTTGGCATTTCTGTTCTTGCAGTAATTGGTTTAAGGTAATGGCCTTCAGCAGCATCCATGTTGCTGGAAAGGTCTTGATTTTATTTTTTGTTGTGGCTGTGTAGGATTCCATCATGTACATGTATCACATTTTCTTTATCCGGGCCATCATCGATGGGCATCTAGGTTGATAATATATCTTTTCTGTTGTGACTAGTGTTGCGATGAAAATGTGAGTGCATGTTGATACTAACAGGTAGAGTTTGGGTGGCCCTCGTCCACATACGTAGTTATGACCCGGATGTTCAAATTGTACAGATCAGCTGCACAGGGTGGCTCAGAAATGGCTGCCAGGCGGCATATCTTTCCTTACTTGTGCCATTTTTCTTTTTTTTGGACAAAGGAGGATATTTTGCTAAAAATTCAAATACTGTTTCAAGCATTACCCCTTTAGCCTGTTTTTATCTGTTGTAAATGAGGCTATCTACAGACATGGCTAAATCTCTTTGAATGCACTTCTATCTATATTTTTGTGGCTATGTATGGTTCCTTTTACTCATCAGTTTCAGAGTTCTGCAATACAAGTTCCATGACAATATGTTCATTCACTTTATTTTCACTTTATGTTCATTCACTAGATTTTCAAAGGCAGAGGAGTTTAGTTGTTTTTTCCAAAGTGTTTTTTTTTTTTTTTTTGAGACGGAGTTTCCCTCTTGTTACCCAGGCTGGAGTGCAATGGCGCGATCTTGGCTCACCGCAACCTCCATCTTCTGGCTTCAGGCAATTCTCCTGCTTCAGCCTCCTGAGTAGCTGGGATTACAGGCACGCGCCACCATGCCCAGCTAATTTTCTGTATTTTTAGTAGAGACGGGTTTCACCTTGTTGACCAGGATGATCTCGATCTCTTGACTTCATGATCCATCCACCTGATGTTTGTCTACACAGCCTGTAAATGTAACGAGTCTCGTTCATAGGAATTTAGTAATGGGCAGCTGCCAGGAGACAGATATTAATTTCTAGCTGATAAATTCCTTGGCTTCATTTCGCTTTTGTTTTTCTCTTTATTTCTTTTATTTCTATCTTTTATCACTCCTTTGTCTGAAATAAACTAAATCTTCTGCTTTATAGAGCATAAGCACTTACAGCACAAAGAGGATTTCTTTAAGATTAATTACAACAGTTTTGATAGCACAGCACAGGAAATACTATAAATGTATATGTGTGATTATGAGTAAACTATTACATAGATAATTTTTGCAGCTTTCGTTTTTACCTTTTTTTCTCTACAAAGATCTGCAACTTAATGATGACTGCAGCCAGAGGCTCCATAACACTTAACCTCCAAATATAGTTCTTAAAAAAAGGTCTGGTAAGAGCTGCAGATGTTTTGCATCCATGCAAACTGCGTCACTCGATCTGTATCATGTTGCTAGATTGAATTTCTTTGAAAATGGGAAGAGCACAGATGTTTCTTCTTTGGTTGTTTCCCTATAAAGAATAGCTTTGACTTTGCTAATTTATGCTATTTACTACCCAAGATCACCTGTACAATTTTGTTTTATTTTGTAGTTTCTCATTTCTCGGTCTGCTTATTTTCATTTATTTTCTTGACTTTTATTGTGTACCAAAAGATATGCAACATCTTTTACAAAGTCAATGTATGTAGATAAGTTGCAAAGATACAATTTTTTTTATTAAATAGAGTCCTTTGGCTAAATATCAAGTAAACTTCTCATAGGTCTACTTTTATAAGAAATAGCTGTAGCTTTAAAAAAATTGACATGTAATAATCACATATACTTATGGATTACAGTGATGGTTTCATACATTCAGATCAGATCAGGGTAATTAGCAGATTCATCATCTCAAACATTTATTTTATCTGTTTTGGGAATATTCAATATCCTCCCTTCCAGCTATTTAAAAATATATATTTTGGTTAACCGTAGTTATCCTACAGTGCTATAGAGCAATATAACTTATTCTTCCTATCTACCTGTAATTTTGTGCTCTTCAAAATTATGCCTCCCCTCCCCTATCTTTCCCAGTTTCTAGTAACCTTTGTTCTAATTTTTACTTCCAAGAGATCAACTTTTTTTCAGCTTCCACATGAGTGAAAGACTGTAGTG